TGTTCTTTTTTTTTTTTTTTTTTTTTGATACTTCTTTTTTTACAACTGACTGTGTGTAAGATGTGATTCAGGCTCATAGGGAAACGTGCAGAGTATATAACCTTTGGCAGAAGACATATTTTCATTGAAGGCAGCAACATGAATGGGACTAATAGAAAAAAAATAATTATTTTTTTAAAAAGTCACTAACTTCTGTGTCTCATCTTTTTGCACCTGTCAGTGCCATGTAGATGGTTTCTGCATCACATCTGTTCTATAGAAATTGAACATGATTTTTAATTGTCTGGGGGCTTGCTGAGAAATTGGTTTGTTAGGGTCAAATAAAAGAAGATCTCAGTAGTCAATTATTTCTTTGTCTAAAAGAGGTCATTAAATTTGATGATAGAAGCTGTCAATGTATAAAAATATACAACTGAATGGAAGGTGAGAACAAATGCTGACAAGTGTAGTATACAGCCAGTGCTGTTGACAAGACACAGAATTGAATTGAGCAAATGGCTCATAAAGCTTATTTAGCAGGAGAACAGTAAAATCCTTCCTTTAAGGTGATTTAGCTTTTTAGTAAGCATTTATATGGAGACAGGGGTCTACCCTGGGAGATGGGGGTGCTTGCTTTTACTAGGCACTGCAGACAGCACTGCAATATAACTTTAGTTTACTATGGTACTAAAACTATTAAACTCTTATAGTCTTTTTTTCACTTGAAGTGAGGCTTGTCTCTTAACGAAAAGCGGGTGGCCATTCTTTTCCTATGCTGGCCATTGTTTTTGATGGGCAGTCATTTTTGTGCCTTTTTTAAGAAACATGAGTCCATTTTGTGCTAAATGGCTGCAAGGGAAAATAATATAGAGTTGATTATAGGGGTTGATCAGTAACTCACAACAAGAATAGCTCTACTTAACGTTAAAAAAAAAAGTTAAAACAATTACTCCATCCTCTGTCTTACTGGTTAGCATTCAGCTTTCCTGGGGGACAAGACAAGAGCTGTGGTGGGTGCAGAGAGAGGCCAGGTTAGGACCCCTCCCACAAGAAAGGGGATCTGACTGGTGCCCCAAGTAGCAGATAGCTATGGTGGGTGCTGCAGGGCTTCCTCCCAGGAGGCAATTCCCTCTGTGGATAAGTGTGGGTGTTGGATATGTGGAATTCCCAGATCCCTTGCAGTCAAGTCTCCAGTAAGGTAGGTGATCATGTTGGACTGAGATGGAGGGCTGTCTCAGCTAAAGACCACCAGACTATCCCTCAGAGGCAGCCGGTCCTCTGTCTGATGTCCTGGTCTGTTTATGTCCACCACTGGTGTGTCACTGCTGTTCATGGTAAAAAACTGCTCCTGGCAGCTGTGGCCCTACCCATCCACTCATGTAATCTCATGTAAGCTTTAGATCAATTCTTTATTAATTTTATTCAACTGTTTCTTCAGATAATTTGGATGAAGTAAGATTTATCTTCCCATAACTATCCTTGTGTTGATTAAGAAGAGGCATGTATACTCTACCATTAGCAACATTTGTTACAGAAGCTCTCACATGCTTATTTTGTTGGAGAAAAAAAAAAAAGGAAAAAGAACAAATATAGGCTGCCATCACAGGCAAGCACCAGTCCTAAATTGAGGTCAGGTGCTGTGGTTCTGCATGATAGAAATCCTAGTGCTGTGCAGAGCCTAACCCAAAGCAGGACCCTGCTGGTGCTTCTAGTTTCAGATGTGATGCTGCCCAGTGGTATAACCTAGCTGGCACTGCTAACTGTGTCTGTGAGTCTCTCCTCAGCAGAGTAGTCACCTCATTCCCAAGCAAGTCTCAGCTATATGCTGACCATTTTAATTTAGTCCAGGAATATGAAGAACTTGCAAACTAGAGCACACATCTGTCCCATATGGACACCAATAATAAAGTTTAAGCTGACTTAGAGACTATTTCTGGATCTGCTTTTTCACTTTTTGCTCTATGACAAATTCCAGTTTACTGATATTAGCAGATTGTTCTTATTATCCACAAATCCCACAAAATTGAGTATGTTTTCCACTATATCTATAGGACTCCAAGGCAGAAAAAAACCTGCCAAAAAACAGTCTCACGTATCCTGTGTTAGCGAGGTCAGAAAGCACTCTTTTACCACACCTATCATTAGTCAGTTTGACCTCTCTACCCTTTCATACTTGACTTTAAACCCATACCTAAGCTTAACTCCAGCATGATGGTTCTGTTCAGATCAGACCTTCATTATTTCAAGCCCCTGTGATCCTTCTGAAGACACTTACTAATCTGGGACTTTGAGTCATTTCATGTCTTTTGTAGCTGTATAGTTGAGCATTATACAAAATGCTTAACATTTTATTAAACCAGTGGCTGTGTTTAATAAGTAACAAAACAACAAAATAAGAGCAGCAAACTGGAAGGTATGTTTGGAAAACATGGGAGGCTTGCACAGAATGTAAGCTCTGCTTCTTAAGTGGATGAGACAGACAATTATTTACAATGTTTTGAGAGCACCTGGCACTAGGTCTATTGGCCATCAGGACAACTTAAGTGAAAGTGGTGTTTATCACAGTGCCATGTTAAGTGGATTTTAGTGCAAAAACATAAACAAAACAGTCTCTGCAAAAGTTTCAGGACTTTCAGACTGGTGAGTGCTCTGATGTTGCAGACAGCTCAGGTCATTTATTGTGTCTAATGCGTGCCAAACAGTCAGCACAAATGACAGTATGCGCTTTTATGTTTGTTGGTTTATTTCTTTTATTTCTGTTTGTTTCCTGGTAAAGAAGGTGGATTTCATACCTAGTGTGTTACCTCCCCTCTCACTTAAAAACAATCTCTAGCCTGCCTGCACCTTTCGAATACACTCCTCTGCTCTCCTCCTGATAAGGAAACCTCCTCGTTGCTGCTCTACATTTTCTTATCTGACAATGACGAGACAATTCTGGTTTCCTGTAGGTGTGGTAAACCATTTAAATTTTTACTAACCATTGTGATACGTGCTGCCTGCTTTTCAGAAGTGGCATTTAGATGATCTAAAATGGACAGATTGCATGCTACAAATTCCAGGATGTAATCATCTTTCAATCTTGCTTGCATGTCGGCTGTTTTGTGTGACCTTAGAATGGGCCTCCCCTTACTTCTAGCCAAATATCACTTCTTCATTTCAAATGAAGAATGTCAAGTCATTTCTGAGTTCAGCATGTTACCAGATTTACCAGATCCAGCAATTTCAATAAATCCAAGGTGGAAATCCAGGACTTTGTTTTCAGGTCAATGATTATGGTGGACAAGTTTGTAAGACACTCCCTTAACCTCTCCTTTGATCTACTAAAACTTCTAGATATGAAATGTGTCTCTACATTGTCTTGAATTTCTCTGTTGCAGAAGTAAGCACTCTGGGAGGAAGCTCGTGCAACCACTTCCTTGTCAGTGGTCTCTTGTGATGGTTGCAGTTGTTCTCTTCAAATTTGAGATGGCAATATGAGTGTGGGTACCTAGGAGACGATCACGGTAAGAAATCAGTTCTGCTGCACTTGTTCCTCTCCTCTGAGATACCTGATACACCTTATTCAAGTGGTATAAAATTCTGCTGGCCCTGGAAAGAATCTATATTCAGGCAAAAAATGTTAGAAATATTTTTTTCTAGTGGTGAAAACCACTAGATATAAACAAATTTGGAATGTGTTAAAAAAGCGAAATTTTACTATCTTGCCCTCTGTCATTAAAATGTGAACCTTATTATAGTTTTCTTTCTTAGTAGTTAAAGATTTTACATTGAAGTCTAAGAACACATTCAGAAGGTTGGTATTAAATACCTTTTCTCAAAATTTGGCTGCTATGCATATCATTACTATCAAAAAGGAAAAGTCAGCATTTTCACCTTTTAATTTTCACCTTTTAATGGCATAGAATGAGGCAAAAAAGTAGTTCTGATTCTCAGCAATTTCTATTTTTTAATAGAAAATTTATTTGCTACTTCACTTTTACATTTTGTGATAAAACTTTTGCTTCTATCTGGTTTTGAAGTATAAACACGATATTTAACCCCTTTAATTATGCTATGAGAATTTTATTGTCTAAAATACTGTCTTTTCCTGTTAACTAGCCGTTTCAGTGCATTTATGCCTGATAGAGCATCAATTTGATCAGTGATGCATTCAGACTATCAATGACAGAATCCTCTAGAGTTTAAAAATAGGAAATCTGATGGATTCGGTGTCTCATATGCAGCTAATTGGTAATGCGCAGTAACTTATCAGATAACAATTATCCCCAGTAGTTTTGCACAGTATTTCTGGGAATCATCCTTTGACACTTTATTTAGAGCATCTGTCAGCATATATGTTATTAATCTCATTGGACATCACTCAGCAGCCACCATTCTCCTGTCTGCAGCAGAAGGTAAAGAAACCTGCTAGATTATCTGTAGCACAGCTTCTTGAAAGATACCTGCTTTCTCGTCACCTGCTTTCTTGTTGGATTTTATTTTTTTTGTCTTGTTGTCTTTGATGAAAGTTGAAAACACATGTAACATTGCTGGCTGCTTACCTTCGGTATTATTCTTGAAATCTTTGGTGGTTATGACGAAGTTGTTCCAGTGATTAAGGAAGTTAAATAATTCACTAGACAGGGAACGTACACAAAGAATATCTTAGGATGGAAAGGACCTCCAGAGAATGAGTGCAATCTCCCTGTTCAAACCAGGTCCAGCTAGACCAGGCTGCTCAGGGCTGGGTCAGTCAAGTTTTGAGCATCTTCAAGGATGGAGATTCCTCAACCCCTCTGGGCAATCTGTTCCAGTGTTTGGTCACCTATGTGATTAAAAATGTTTTCCTTATATCTGGTCTGAATTTCTGGCGTTTGGTCACCTATGTGATTAAAAATGTTTTCCTTATATCTGGTCTGAATTTCTGGTGTTCCAACTGGTGTTTATGATTTTTCAGTCCAGCTTTGTGTTAACCTCTGAGAAGAGTTTATCTTGGTTTTCTTTGTAGTCTCTGATCAAGTAGTTGCACACGTCAGTGAGGACTCCCCCTAATCTTCTTTCCATATTACAAACAAAGCCATCTCTTTCAGCCTGGCAAATGCTTCAGCCCTCTGAGCCTCTGGCTGGTCTCTGCTAGACTCCCTTTAATATGTCAATGTCCTTCTTGTACTGAGAGGGCCCAAAATTTGATACAGCAGTCCAGGTAAGGCCTCACAAGGACCAAATAGATGGGATGAGAGCAGTCACTTTCCTTGATCTGCTGCTGCACTCCAATACAGCCCCAGGTGCTGTTGGCTATCCTTGCCATGAGCACACACTGCTGGCTCATATTGCTGTTGTTAGGACCTCCAAATCCTTTTCTGTGGAGCTACTTCTTGTCAGGTCAACCCCCTGCCTGTACTCTTTAGAAAGTTATTTCATTTCAGATGCAGGACTCTGCTTTTGATGTTTTTGAACTTCATGAAGTTCCTGTTAGTCTATTTCTCCAGCCTATCAAAGGCCTTCATAGTAGTAGCCCAACTTTCCAACATGTCAACCACTCACCCTAGTGTGTATGGTCTATATAGTCTACAAACTTGCTAAGAGTGAACTCTGCCCTATCAGCCACATCATTAATGAAGATATTAAACTGTATTGGCCCCAGTATCAATCCTCGAAAGACTCCTTGCCAGGAGTCATAAGTTTGAAGCATGACTCATTCCACCAGCTGAGATAATTAAGTTTTTAACAGTTTTGATAGCAGAGAAAAGCTGGCATAGGGAGGTGAAAGAGGAGGATCATGTTGGGAGCATCAGACCTTGCAAGAACTCTGCTGTGTGTTGTTGGGCCAGGAAGAGAGTGTGGAGAGGGTAAGGATGAAGAACCTTTGCAAATTTGGGGAGCTATCGGGCATTCATGGAGTCCAGTGTGGCTACTGAGGGGAAGGGATGGGTAAAAGAATCTGCTTTCAAGTGCTGAGGAAGATCAGAATTAGGATGGGCATCAGAGAATAAAATAATCTCCAAGCAGTCATTTAAAGCTTTCCTTGCTTATTTCCACACCAGAGAGAAACAAAATCTCGAGATTTCCCAAGTGACCCGAAATTCCACCAAAATAAAGTCTTATTGAAGAGGTTGAGAAAATATCATGTAGGATGTTTCATTCTGATTTTGATTACTTTTCCATTTCCTGCTTTATAATAAATTAAGTGAAAATTATTTTGAACAGGAAAATTAAGGAGGAAACCCTTCTTTTTTCCCTGCATTTGGGGGTGAATACTAAGTATCAAACTGAAATATAACAGAAAAGGATTTATTTCTGCAATATGTGTTTCTATTATCTGTTGATGAATATCTGAGCAATTATACTTTAGACACTTTTCTTGAAAGAAAGTGGGATACTTTTACTAGTGTGATGAATAGTAAATACTCAGTCTTGAAAGGGATGTTCTCTGTTATGGCTAAATTCTTCACCGGCCACAAAGGCTGTTTACCACTTTCTATTTCTTTATTTAAACCAGCTTCTTAATAATGAGTTTGTGAGACTTTTTCATGTTAGAAGCCAATGCTTCCCAGAGTTCTTCTAAATTATAATATTTTTTTTGGCCTTAAATCACTGAAGATCAGAAAAGTGTCTGTGCCTAAAGTGGAATGCCATTTAGACACAATGACTTGAGTGACATATTGAATTCTTGAATTGCAACTAAGAAGGCTACTCAGAGTGGTTATATAAAGTGTTGTGTGCTTATATTTTTAAGCAATAAAACTTCAGATATTTAAGTGATTTTGGGAGGTTTTATCAGGGTCTTGCTTCAGCAAAGTCCTTAGTCTTATTTTTAACGGTAGATAGTGGAACTCATTGCTTGTAATGTATCTACTAATGCAGTTTACCATTTCCTAGAAACATTTTCAAAAACAGCTCCCAAGTCACCTTTAAGCTAAGGCAATTCCAAAACCTAGCAGTTTGTTGCAAATAGACCGTATTATTGCAGCAGATGGGTGCAATCACAGTTGACTCCATGGATCATCTGAACCTCTTTGTAACATTTCTGGTAGACTATTGCCAAACAATAAGCCCATGAAAAATGTATGTTGCATTAAAAAAAAACTTACAAAGCATATAACTACGAGGAAGGTTACAAAACCAAATCCACCTTAAGGGGAAATGAGAAACAAAACCAAAAATCCAAGCCTGGGTCATAATGTTGCTTTTCTGTATCGCAGACTCATTATGAAGGTAGCTTTTACTTAACCTCTTAGTTCTCACATCACTCATGTTAATGGCCAAGTTTCTGATACCAGTGACATTTATCAACTGATCATCTGTGACTCCATGAGTCACTGTCTCCAGGCTTGACATAAACCACTCAGACTCTGTGCTAGGGTCACCTGGACTTTGTCACTATTTAACAATTGAAAAGGAGCAGTATTTTCTTAAAGCACAGGCCAGACCCTCTAGTGATGTAAATGAGCACAGGAGAAGCAAAGTCAATAGAACACCGATGTTTGCCACTGCTCCAAGGCAGTTGAGCAAATGGAGAAGCTCTGTTTTCCTTCTCTGCTTTCTTTCCTTTGCTTGTATATTCCTTTGCTCTCTTCAGTTAAATCAAACATACCTTGATACATGCAGTAGTTGAAAAGAAGCTGTTGCTTTATTACATCCGAATACTAGGATGGACTGACTATAGAATAGATCAAAAATTTTGGCATGTTCATCTTTTGCTCGCCTTCTAATGTAAATCTAGAAGTAATGATAAGATTATTTGTTTTTCTGCTTTTAAACAGAATGCCTTCTGAATGCAGAGAATGATTATCTTGGTGCTTTTTTACAAAGTATAGAAGGGTAACATAGGAGTAGCACATAGGAAGGAAGTGTTTTATTTACCCTGCTTTTTAATATAGTGTTGCATTTTGGCCATGCAAATGTTACGAGTCTGTGTGGAAGATTTTATTTCTGAAGAGGCAAAACATTCAAATTAGGCCCATGGCTAACTCTTTTCCATTCCCACATCTGTGAAGAAAATTTTGTGGGAAGGGGGAAATGAAAAGGCACAATCTCATTAAATACAATTCAGATCTCAGTTTTTGTGCAGTTTAAAGTCTGTATCAAATCTGGGACCTGAAAACTGCCATCACCCTCTTCACATAGGCTTCAATCTCCTGCACCACTTGCATACAGCTAGTAAAGCTGTAGGTAGAAGAGGTGAGGACCCAACTGCAAGATGGTGGCCAAGTTTTATCAGTGAACCAGGGCCATTGACAAAACTGTGTTGATGAAACTCAGTGCTGTTCTTGGCAGCTACATACAGAGTTTTCCAGGTCAGCTGGTGCTCCTATACCCAGAAAATAAAAATTGCATGCTTAGTGAACGTCTTGAGAATTGCAATTCTTGTATTCCTGACCTGAAAAGTAAAAGATATTGATGAAATTCAGAGATTTATAGTAGGGGAACTTTCATCCAAGTGTCTGATATATTTCTTTAGTACATTGTCCTTGTTTCAGCTGGGATAGAGTTAATTTTCATTCTAGTGATTGCTGTGTTTTCAGATTTTGTATGAAAGGAATGTCAATAATACACATTGTTTTAACTGTTGCCAGGTGATGTTTATACTATTCAAGGACTTTTTTCAGGTTCCCATAGAAGCTGAGAAGGAGCACAGACAGAACAACGGAATGGTCAATGGAATATTCTGCGCCATAGATGTCATGTTTGGTATGTAAATGGGGGCTAGTCGGGGCACGGGATCTGCAGTCACTGCTTGGGACAAGCTGGGCAACAAATTCACCGGGTGTTGTCTTGTGTTGCATTACTTTATCTTGTATATTCTTTTACCATTATTATTATTGTTGTTGTTATTTTCCTTTTCCTGTTATTGTTCTATTAATACTGTCTTTATCTCAACTGACAAGGTTTTTTTCCTTTCCTTTCTCCCTCTTCTCCTCAACCTTCTTGGGGAAGAAGAGGGAGAACTGCATGAGTGACTGCATGGTGCTAGCTGCCAGCTGTAGTTAAATCACAGCATACAGGAAGTCTTTAAAGCATGAGACTAGGTCAGGAGAATCAGACCACTGACTCAAAGCAGAGAGTTTCTCACTGTAAAAACACTGACTGAAACTTCTACTGGGAATTTAGTACTGCTGCTAGTGTGCAGTTGCTGGTTAGTCAAAGGACATGCTTAACCGTGTGTCTCTGCTACTCTGCTTCAGTCCTGCCCTGAAATGATGTGCCACAAGATCTATTTCTAGATTAGTGGCAGAAGTCACCAAACAATCCTTTCAAATTATTCTGTGAAGTTTTCATTATTCAATGAAGACTTAACTCTCCTCTAAAGACAACAAGGCCAATGTAATGCTGAATGCTGTAACTAGCTCCATATGTTTTAAGGCATTAGAGTAGAGTGAAATGACCAGAAGTATACTAATAAATAAAGACCATATCCTGGTATTGATCTGCATGTGGAACTCACCTCTGAAATCAATAGGGAGCACTGAAAAAAATCAATGGCAGGATATGACCATTAGATAAGCTAGTTTCAAATCATTCTGTCTCTCTACTACAAGAAGAAGGGTTACGTTGTGTTATCTAAGCTCTCAAACATCCACAAGTTTGGGAGATAGGAAAAAGCCACATGGAAGAGAACTGATATAGAAATATCTACACAACAAAATAGTTGTGTTTTGCAAGACCTCGACTAGTTATTGCTTTTTAATATCATCACTCTGGATGAAACATTTAAATGGTTTCTTGTAATTGAGACTGAAAGTCTCAGGGAATACCTTGGGGAAGCATGAGTGATGTAGTAAAAGGAACCAGCGTTCACGTGCACTTCCTGCTAGCATTATTGATAACCTTGCCCTGCATTATAGCATGGGGAAAACTCTACAGAAATTAGGCCTTCAGGCAATTGCCCTGCATGAGAAGTCAGCCACGTGTTGAAGAGAAAATGAAGCTAGGAAGCTCAAGGGAGACAGCATACCTTCTTTTCTGAGATACTGTTATGACAGATGAGCATGGCATAGTGTGGTTATTTTTCCTCTACTGGATATCAAAAAGGCTTGGTTTTGCAAAACATAGGTTATGTTTCTTGGCTGCATTTGCTTGTGTCAAATCAGTGCTGTGTGGGATCTTCTGAAGCACAAGACTGCAAACAGGGGCCCTACTGAAGCATGTTACTGCTCCCTTCAGGCTCACAAACTTGATTTCTTTCCTTTAGAAACCAAACTGAAGGTGTGGACATATGGATGCTTGGATACCTGTCTAATATGGCATCAAGATGCAGCTGAAACTTACACCCAGATCTAAATGTGTCAGTCCTGGGTAACTAACTTTGATGCTCCCTTGGTCTGAATCAACAAATAGCTTTAAGATGGCGGCATGGATGCTCTTTTCACTAGTTGCTTTCTACTGATGTGAATATTCCAAAATTTTTTACTTGCTGGCAGAGAAATCCTCAAACAAATGTTTCTGGGAGTGAGAAAAACTATTTTTGATATTCCAAAGTTTTTATGTGGGCTTATTCTGATGAACATTGTCTAGTTCAAATTCTAGTTTGGTACAACGCATGATTAATGTCAGCTAAAAAGAACAGCTACAAAATGGAGAAAATTGTATATTTGAACCTGAAAAAAAATTGAATCAAAGCCATTTATCCAAAGAATTTCTATCTTCAGAATAACTCTCTTTACTTGCCCTTGCTTGTCTTGTCTATTTTTTATTATTTTTTTAAATTGCATGCGTATTTAATGCACGTGAAATGTTTCACATTGCCAGACATGGAATAAGCCTGCGCTCAGAGCCTTGTGGACTTCTTGTTCCTAATATTGGGAGATGTAATCTAGCCAAAATCCCCTCTAGATGGCTCTGATGCTTTCATTACATTGCCATTTGCTTAGATCCTTGTCTGACTCTTTTTGCTATCTGTAGCTTTGTTCTCATTTAGAATTGTAAGTTTGAAGGTTCCTGTTTCTTTTTATCCAAGGAGAAGATCTATCTCAGTAATGCAAGCTTTTGCATGCTGCCCCATTAGTGTCTCATCTTAATCCATGCCTTGAGGGTCCAAATCTAGGGAGGATAGAACAATTCAGTCTCCATACAGATCTTGGATGCTTCTCAGACTCTGCCAACAAGTGTGCCAATTAAAATTGTGTTTTCATGACATTTCAAGCCAGCCCATTACAGAGAATGTAGGTGAAAAAAATAAATTTATAATTTACATTTCAGAAAAAGAATGATTTTCCCTCCAAAATTTTCTGACTTGTATCGTGTCATTGTTCACGATTTAGTCAGAACCTGGAATGCTACCTTCAGATTATGGAAGCTGGCAAAATTCATAACCGGGCAAAAGGGAAAATATTCACATAACTCTCGGCAAGAAACCAAATCAAACTATTCTTTTTAATTGCAGGTGAGTAATAGCACTCTTACATTTCATACAAATAACGTCAGCACTCTCCTTCTGTGTGATTGATGGGATGTTTTAAGTGGAGTGCTTTAATTCAGCACAGCTGGACGTCTCTTGTTGGATTCTCCTCCTAGTCTAAGAAATTTTTGTTTTGAGTTGGTTTGGCAACATCTTACCGTGTTAAGGCTGAAAAATATCCCTCAAGAGAGTAGATGTTGAATTGTGAACTCTTTGCTCGGTCAATATCTCTGCTAATGAAAACTGGGGATTACTGTTTGGTTGTTTGGTTTTTTGAACCAATTCACTTAGTCTTCAAGGTCTTGTTTGAGCTTTTGGATTGAATTGGAATGGTCTATCATGAGTAATATGTCTGTAACCTCAGTGCTTCCTCGTAGTACTTTCAAAAGGAGTTTTTCCTTTCCCAGGATCTCTGCCACTTTGTTGCTTCCCATTGCTAGGATTAAGCAGCTGGCTGCAGATTTAGGAGACCTTAGTAGAATTCCACACACTCCTTTAACCCACGTGCATGGCAAAGTGGCAGAGGAGGGCTCCTGTGGGGGTCATAGGAAAGCGTGCAGAGGCTTGAGAACCTAGCTGACCTCCAGTGCCTATTCAAAGAAGGAGATTGTGCAGCTCTACTGTTCAATCCTTCATACCATGTATGAGCATATGCACTTACCACTGTGTAGGGCACAGTGCTTTGCCAAGCCAACAAAGGGTATCTAGGGAAAGAAATATGCTGGGCATTTTGAGAAAGGAGGAAGACTTCAAATAATTTTTGTTAAGCTTCCAAAAGGGAGGACTTTAACTGTTCAGCAAGTCGAGCAAAAGCAGGATTCTTTGAGGATCTTTCCACACTACCAACTATGGAGTTCATTTAAACTAGGCATATATCCACTTAGTGTATTAAGTTCCCTAGCATCAGGCTCACATGGATTTATTTACAGTCTCTGACTAGAATCAACATGAGCTTTCAGAGCCCTGGAGTACATAATAACAGGAAAATCGTGGCTCTAGTTAAACACATCCCCAGGGAAAGCCTGGTAAATGTCCAGGGTAGTGATTAGGAAAGGTTGACTTATGATGTGACAAGGAAAGTAGTACAAGTTAGATAACACTAATAAATGACATTGGTGCCGAAAAATGATAGATTATTCTGAAGTGTTCTGTTAAAAAAGAAATAAATAAACCAAGCAGTTTTTAGAGGAATATCCTGAATCTATCTGTAACTATCTGCAGTTGCTTACTATTCTAGCATATCAATTTTGATGTATATGTGTGGAAAATGTATTACAGAAAGAATTATTTAATATATAAGGAATCATCTAGTGTGCTGCATGGAGAACAGGACATTATACAAACTTCCAATTTGTGCAGCTGTCATGAGTGAGCACCCACAATGCCATTTATATTGGAGGAAAGTACCAGTAATAGAAAGCATTTACAGAATGACTGAAAACAAATTTGCAAGGGAGAGACAATTTTTAGTTTGCTCTGTTTGGTTTTATGCTCCATACATTGTAATCCTTAGATTATGGAGTTCGTAAATTGAATTGTGGGGACTTTTTGCTATGAATAAACAAACCCCTAAACTTCCAACATTAAAAAAGCCCTCTTTTTCAAGGATTAGCTGTTTGATTATTGTTGATTTTCTTATGTTAGAATTTACACCATAATATTTTTTTCTTCTACTTTAGTTATATGAATTATTATTGCTTTGTTTCTGGCAAATACCTATTTTTAGACTGTATCCCTTGTAATGTTGCAAGCTCTAGTCTTGTCCAGACTTTCAGATATATTGTCCCTCTTATACAGTGATCTGAAATACAGATTTCAGCGGAAGAGTTCATAATGAAAAAAAATTAGGCAACACTTTAAAATTTGGGATCTAAGTAGTTCTGTCTTGCTCAGTAGTTGGAAAATTGCTCAATATTCGGGACTTCCTGTTTCTCTGATGGACTCAGCATGTCTCTTCAGGGCCAAGGCCTGTGGTGCACAGCTATCTGATCTGTCTCTGAGGAATCCTGGTTTGTCTGTGCGGTGCTGTCTGGAACTGCAGAGCTGGTCTCACAACTCGAGCAGAGCCCTGTGCCGACACACTCCTACGGCACCCAGTCTGGCAATTAGTTCAGCTGCTGTTTATCTGGGTGTCACTGCATTACACTCCACTATACTGTGTAGACATACTCAAGTTGTGTCTTTTAGGGGAGTTGAAGGAGACATGTCTTAGCACAAGGCAAAACAGAGACTCCTTACTCTGGTGCATTGAGATCCTGTGGGTATCTGTAAAAAGCTCCGTTTCCTCAGGTCTGTTCTTGACGTCTGAAACAGATGTTTTATTAGACTTTCACTGACTCTATGGAAAAAAATTTCTCCAGTCCAGCAGGAAGATGAGGCCTCCTGACAACAATTTTTTTTGTTTCAAATAATATAATATGTATTCTATGGCACATAAAGGAAAAGCTACTCAAGATACTAACCAGGGAGATGCTTTCCCCACCTCTTCCACAATGGATAAACAATATTTGCCTGGATGATGCTATTCTAAATCATACATCTATTATGCAATAATGCCAAAATGTTAAAACTTGAGTGTTTATATCCAGAGTAATCTAATGTTCAGCAAGGTCTAACATGCATGTTTTACACCACAGTCTATAAGATGTCTCACTGAAATGCAAGCAGCTGACCACATGGTATGTCCCTGACTCCTTTCCAGATTCAGGCGCTCCATCTAATTTTGTCAGTCAGTGAGATTTAAAAACCTCAACAGCTCTGAGCATCAGGTCAATTCTTCAAGGCTTGTGCAGGCATAACAGGATTTGTATCAGAAATAAGAAGGTGCCTACGGATGTAGTTACCAGTCGAGAAGGTCTCTGTGTCACATTAACATGGGTATGTACCTACGGTTGCTTTCTTTTTGGCACAGTTTCTTATTGCTACTCCTACTGTTCTTCTGAGACAATGTTAAGGCTTTCAGCGTGTGTGCCATGTCAGTGGTGTTCTCAGTATTGTTGTGTCAAGCGCAAATTGGCCCCTAAGTCACCAACCTTGTTAGGGCCACAGACTTGTCACAGGGGCACTGCCAGAGAGGCAATGGATGCAGCTACCACGGGACACTCTGGGGTGGCTCGTGTCTGAAGTGGCTCTTTGCACAAAGCCCGGATCCCACCCGACATACCGGGGGCACGGCCAGGTGGTACCTGACTGGGCTGTGAGAAACTAGGGCTTTCCCTGTGGAATTTTTTCCAGGACAGCTCTCAAGGTATCCCCTTGTGCCCAAAAGTGCTACTATTTCTCTCTTTCTTGAGCTGTGTTGTCTGGTTAGGGAAGCAGTTCAGAATAATTGGGCTTCTTGTCTGGGCTTTGGGAGGCTGACGGTCTAAAATACAAGAAGCAAAAGAAAAACACCTTAAAAAGATGTGCTTTTCAGCCCCCTAAAAATGAACATACTTGCTCTTGAGATCAAACAAAACCTATTTTCTGTTTTTATCAGCTTTGTTTGCAGGACAAGTGAACAGGCTTCATTTGCATAAAGGTGGTAAGTTTAAAAGAAAAAAAAGAATTCTGTATAAATTTCTCAGGAAAAAGGTACCTTTTCACTTTTGCTATATGATGAGAGAAGCACTAAGCACCAGAGCAAAACAGAGAAAAAGGACGTATCAAATCTGAGGACAGTTACTGTAACCCCCTCACTTTTCTTTTAATTCATTTAATTAAGAATATATTTGTAGTTTATAATACGATTATTTTTTTTCTCAACTGGCTGCAGTCAAAGCTATGACTTGCTATGTAGTTTGGCCAGTTAAAAATACTAAAATTACTTTCTTCCCTCCTGCTCTTCCAATCTTTCTTCTTTGCAGATGGCAGAGGACAATATGCTGGGTCTGCAATAACACTGACTCAAAATTCCTTGCTAATTGTAAGATAACTTCCTAAAGATTGCAAGCAAAAGGAAGTCAGAGAACAAAGCAATGTCAAGTATGCACATGTCACAACACAATGTGCTGATTCCAAGCCTTTGGAAACATGCTGAAAGACATGTCTGGAAAAAAAAAAAACAGGGAAGTGCTTCCACACAGTCTCTCAGCATGAAAACAACAGCTGAATGTGCCTGTTCCCACCAGGAAAAAATACCCTGAAATAACAAAAGGTGCTGGAAAGCTAGAAATGAAATCATCAGATGGCGAGTACACTCTTTTGTCTGTTCCTAAAATTTACATAGACTGTACTTCCACTGCATTGTAAATCAAGGGATTAATCTGGAGTCATGTTTGACTGCGAGGTGCCAAGAAGACCAAGAAAAATGGAATGTATAAACAGGTCTCTCTTACAATGGAGGACTAGTAGAACAAAACAGAAGTAAAGCAAACAAAGGGCCACACTTTCAGATAATGTATCTGCAGGAATGCAAACTCTGTGCATTCCTGATCACTCCTGTAGGTACTGAATGCACAAAAGACACACTCTTGAGGAGATTGGCATACACAGTGTTTCTTTGTGAAAGTGTCTGCATACATTCCCTTCATAACCACAGGTAAATCTTTGCATCATTGGTGTACTCTAAAGATGTAAGTGTTTTCAATTAGGCCTGTCACTTGTTGGCTTGCTGAGTCCAATTTTCTGTCATCTTAAGAGCTAAGGGTTGAGTAAATTCCAGGGGAAAATTATGGGATCCTAATGAAAGATGACATGTACAACACAAATGAAACACTGCATGCATCTGACTTAAGATGTTACAAAACATCACCTCCAAAACCAGAGAGATATCATACATAAATGCAAATGAAGCAACACTCAGTAATGAATAATGATGTGACTAGGCATTTTTCTTTCAAAACTGACAGAAGGAAACAAAATTATCCCTAGTTTCTGCAGGCAGAAACAAGTACCTGGATGAAAAGCAAGTTGCCTAACATTGCATATCAGCTCAGGAATAAATTCTCCATCTTCAGATTCTCAAGTGACTTTGTAAAACTGTTCCTTTTTGTGAACTGCCGAGTCCCAAAGAGCACTCATGACAAGTGCACCTGAAAGGCTTGTTTTGTATTCGGTGCTTCTAGTTGTGCTCCCAGAGATACATGCCATAAAATGACCTCAGGGTTTGTTAATGTTTCCTACAGCAGACATAATATGCATGAAAATGAACGCCCAACCTTACTTTAAGTGAAAGTAATTTAGGTATATTTTACTAAAATTTTGCAGACGTATGTTAAAATCTAGCATAAATGTTTCTGCCAAATAGAGAAAAAGTGTTGCTGTGATTATAAAGGCTGAACATGAAATAAGCTGAAAAACTGCTTATTTCCCCTGGCTGAGAACTGTAGTATCTCTCTTAAACCTATTTGTTTGTTAGATATTCCTTGTCAGTGCACTATTTGGGATTCGAGCCTTTCTTGCAGATTCTAATTTGGACTCCAACTGTATGAAGCACCATGTAAATTTGGTGTTCAGCTGTCTTCCATATATTTTCATGCAATTAATGGATTTCTCCTTCCCTCTTGGACTGAGGGAAGATAATAATTGAGAATATCTGACTCTCACTGTAGGAAGTGATGTTCAGGGAAAATGGGGCTTCTTTTGAACTAATGCTATTTTTTTTATTTGTGCAAACAAAAACCTGACCAAACTGAGCCTTTGCACCAGCAGTGAACTTGAGAGTGTGCCACCAGATGCCAAGTATAGACGGTAAGCAAATTTACACTAAAAAGAAACCCTTTGCCATAGTAAATCCCTATTGTTAGATGCTCTTTGAGGCTGAGACTGTGCCTGCCTGTAACACAGCCAAGTGAGGGAGTGAGATATTCTGTTACAGCTGTGCATGGCCACATAAAATTTGGGAGCTGGCAGGAGCAGGCGGGTAGTAAGGCACATGAAACTGTTAGGTAGGGAAGGGAAAGAGAGATCTGGAATGCACCTTTAAAAGAGCTTTTGGTTTGCACTTTTGTTGGGCCTGCCAGAGGTTTTGAAATAATGCAAAGGAAGAGCCTGTTGTCCTGGGTACAATATTCTGCCAGATTGCTTTTCCAGGAGCGAAGGAATAGTGTCTTTCATCATAATTCCTTCTCTCGGCCCCCTGCATAAATGAATTAAAGCTAACTTTAGTTAAAAAAGGAAAAAAAAAAAAAAAGGAAATGCAAAGGTTAAACCTGAGCACTATTATACTGTCCAAAGGCACTGAAGAGATTGTAACAGGTGGTCCCACCACCTGTGCTTGTCTGCTTCCATTCCAAATAATCTCCTTATCGAATGCAGGGAGGAGCAGACACCCGGGAGGGTCCCACAGGAAGAGCAGTGGCTGAAAAACAGAGTGGCTAACCAGAGAGATAGGAACCCGTGGTGCAGGGAATGCATAACTTGGAGGAGGAGAAACTGGAGACAGATCCTTGTCTCATTTACAGCTTGTCTATTTACAGCAATTCTGCTGGCGTCAGGGGCAGCCCTTCACATTTACGTCATGTTGGTAATGGATGGGAGGTAAGAGGTCCTGCAATTCAAACGTATAAGCTGCCACGTTCTAATGGCTTGCAGAGAATAAGGCCAATCAAACAATGCTTTTATAATAGCACCTATTTTCTTTATCCTTCCTCAATGGCTACAGGAAATGCTTTAATTTAATAGAGTAAGCGGATGCATTGCGTGAATTCCAAATGGCACACTAACATGGTAATGATCCCTGTTCTGTATTGCAGGCAGGGCTGTGGTTTGTTTCTCAGTGGGCTGCACCTACAATAGCTTTTTATGACTGTCAGACTTTGACTAAAAGAAAAGAAAGCACTGGCTGAAAAAGAAATAACAATAAAGACCATTCCTGTCATGTATCTGAATATTCCCTTTCACTCATTCTTTCCTGTGCATGAAATTTCTTAGGTAAATATAGCTAGAAGGGGAAAGGTACCTCAAAGGAGCTCGCTGTTGTCAGCGTGGATCTTCACATTCAAGTGAGATCTTTTGAAGTGAAAGCGTTCTCAAAGTTGAGGACTTCTGTGTCAAGCTGCCTGCTGGGCATGATGCACACCCTGCAGCTGATGGCTTTACCTTCTCACAAGTTGTTCTTTAGCAGAGCAAAGTTGTTGCTCTTCATGTGGCAGGCAGCGTTTCCTTTGCATCAGGTCTGCTTGCTGTGGTGCAGCATTGCACTGACATGGCCAAATGGCTTCTCAGGTAGGAGCCAGCTTGGTACCTCTTCACCACCTTCCACTTTGCACCCAGAAATGGTCCCTGAGTTCCTTGTAAATTTTACATCTAGGCCCAAAGGCTTCCAGAGCTTCCTATCTGCACTGTGCAGAGCAGGATACTTTGTGAAAACCTCTTACCAGATGGAGCGCACAATCCTTGCTACTTTTCTTCCATCTGTTCCTCATTGACAGGACATTTTTCTGTCCTGTAAGGATCAGCTTGGTAACAGCCTTGATGCTAGATTTCCTCTTCTGGGAGGTTCAGTTATTAGTCCTGAGCTTTCCTTGATCCCTTCCCTATTTTAGCAATACAAGAGGATATGGGCAAAAGCGAGGCCTGTTGAAACCCATCAGAAAGATTGACTGGCACCCTGGGTAAGGATGACGGACCCCAGGATCCACATTTTCCAACATGGTAATTATCCTTAAAAATGAACACTGCAGGACAGCTAATCCAAAAACATTCAGCATAGCTTGTGCAAACTTCAGTGGTTTCTCCTGTTGTAGCATTTCTTTGTATTGTGTTTTCAATGAAGGTACCTTCACTTTGGATTTAACAGTGTAGTCTCAAAGCCAGGTATTGTTCACCTTGATAGCTATTTGGCTGGTTCATTTTGAGAGATGGTTTTAAGATCCTTGAGTGAAATATTCTGAGTTAAAAGGATAGTACTGCAGTTTTCTTCTATGAATCAGAAATATTTCTTTCATGTCTTGCATGATGGTGTCAAGACAACACTATCCTAATTGCACCTATACTGTTCACCGCAGGATGTTGGAGCACACAATGTTGTGGAGAACCACAGTGTTTTGGATCAACTTTTGTTATGGAAATATTTCCAAACGTGAGTAGCCTTTTTTTTTAATTTTAATTATTATTAAAATTATTTAAAATCTGTAGGTAAATATTTATTTCTGGCTAGAAATTACTTGACACTTAAGATCTAGAGCAAGAGGCTTTTTTTTGTTCATATGACTCTCAGAATACACAGGCTTTGTGCTAACCTTTTGACCAAAAATGGCACTTATGCAGAAGAAGGGCTAAGGTTTCATAAGTGTTAAAGTCAGGAAATAAAAGGCAAGGACTCTCTGCACCTATTATGCTTCAGAAATATATGACATTTTCTATTATTCTGTAGGGCAATCGCTTTATACCTTCATATACAGCGTGACCAATTTTATAGTAACTTTTCATTCATCAATTTGGCACTTTTACAGTCTCAGCTAACATTGCACTTAACATGTTTTTTTTAAATATTTGATTTCCTTGACTAAATCTATAAAACAAAGACAAGAGAGATTAAAATAACAAGAAGTACATTAACCTAAATTAAGTTCAAAGTTTATGCTGGCTTCTGCTGTATAGTTTTAGCAGAGAAGCAAGAAGTTTGTTGGTGAATGGAGTAACAGAAATATTTGTGAAAGGGTCATGTCAGAACAGGACAGGCTCAGAAGGACTTGGCATGGCAGCAGTGTTGGTGGCAGCTTCTTCAGACCTTCTCCTTCTTGGAGGTGTGTAATCCTGTTGTTCAGAGTCTTTTTGTAATAATACTTAAGGTTCCTGTCAATACGAATCTTCCTTAGTAATTCTAAGCAGACTCTCCAAATGGTGGGACAAAACAATTCTTATTGCTATGAATCTGGTTTGAGAACTTTGATAACTGAAGTAAGTAACAAAACCAGCAAAATACCTGTGGTGAGATTCAGTTCATGGCAGCAATAATTTTTGTTTCAGTGTTGTCATTTCTGCATTGGTCACAACATTGGCCAGGAAACAGGGGAAGAAGAACCAACTTTTTATGAAGTTTTTGCCAACTCCACTCCAGGGCAATGGCAATTCTTCCCATTTCAGGAGGAACACCCTTTTCCAGATGACTCCTAATATTCTTCTTTCTTCAACTCAGGTAAGTAGAAAGCTCTTTTGTGGCAATAAAGGCTCAGTAGTAACACTAGAATTGCTTTTCACCTATGTATAAAAGCCATCTGAAGATGTCAATTGTCAGAAATTTGTGCTAAGTTGTAAAGCCCAGACTCAAATGTTAGGAAATGTCTTATTCATAGCCGCCAACAGAACCTCAATTCAGCTCCTTTCTGTGTTAAGATACAGTCTTTAATTGCATAATCACATACTATTTTTTCCAAAGGACCTCTGTCTCACTCAGGGCACAGGACCTACAAGAGGGCTGAGTAAAGGTTATGCAGGCACGCATAAATCTGCCACTTCCTAATTTAGCTGTCCTTGACTTTGCAATCTAAATAATTTTCCTTTCAGGGAGATACATTTTTTTTTTTTTTTTAAATCATGGTAGAACAGCATTCCATAAATCGTTTTTTTGGTGGGACTTTGGACAACAGCTTACGAAGGCTCCAGAAGGAGACATAGTTAAGAAATCCAGTAAACACAGCCTCCATGCGTTTTAAACATGCATAGACTAACACTTCATTTGCTCTCAGTTTGGAGTGTCACATGGTGTTTCAAGTGCTAAAAGATTTACTATGGTTTACGGCTCAAATTTTTCTAACTCAATTTGTCGTTTAGCACCAAACTCCCCTGTCCTGCAGCACACTCAAAGGCTAAAGGGCATCAAAGCATTCTCCTGCTTAACTGCCCATGGATTGGAATAGCTCTTGTGACCTTTCTATTGCTCTTGGGATCTTTTATGAAATTAATTATTAAAACGCAAAGCCCCAGGTCTATCTGTGACGTAATGCTTGAGGTTTTCAGTGCAAAAGTAGATTCCTTCACTCACAACAATTTTTATACATTAAACGGTTTCTGCTTGAAAAGAGAGGTCCGTTAGTATAATTTTGCTTTTTTAATCAACCTTATTACCATTTTGCTCCTCTGCAAAGCACTATTAACTGGGTGCATTTCCATTAAATTTCAAAGTACATCTTAGTCTTTATGACTGGATGTTACTTTTAAAACACACAAGTTCTAGCAGGTATGACCTCGAGTGCAAACACAACTTTATTTGCTAAGAATAAGCTATCTAGCTATGTAGCTTTGATTACAGTTCCATAATTAAAGCGCTCGGACACTACTACAGTGAACAGAATGAATCTGGAGGTATAGTGTGTGGGAAACAGAAATACAGATAAGAAGAATGAAGTTTGAGGAATAGGTTGTCGTATCCAATTCTGCTAACCTCAGAAGTGGCAGAACATCTGCCCTACTTGTTTTGAGTCAGTCTTCAGACAGGTAAGTAAGGAAGATGTGATCACAGTGAAAGTATTGGAAAGAAGAACAAGAAGGTTGAACAGGGAGGATTTTGGAAAATACCCAACCTTAACTTGGATTGAATGTTACATAAAACTTAACAGTTACCAGAAAGAGTCCTTTAGTCAAAGAGACTTGCATTTAATATGTGACCAAGCCAATGGGTTTGTAATTTGTAAAAAGAATTTGCACACAACTGCGTATTAGTCCAGTGGAACAATAATTATTGAGTGACAGATGCATTTTAAGGCCTTTTAGTGGCTGTTCCACAACTGATCCTACAAATAGAGATCTATTACAATCCAGGTTTTCATGCCTTCAGCAAATGCTGGTTTTGAGTAAGAATTCAGCTGTGGAACACTGAAAACCTTCAATACAGATACGTGTCTGGGCTGTATAATAGATGAGCAATCTGAGGCAATGCTGAAAGAATCTTTCATTTTTCTTTCCAATTTCTCCCCATCTGGGTTTACTAGATTACCCAACAAACATGAACTAATATTCTAGTCTGCAGAGACTTCTCCTCATGTTTGGAGAAACTAGGGATTTCATAACAGTTTTATGAGAGGAGTTTAGAGTTGCTTTTTGGAAATGTGTTTTTAAATAGAGGATGTGTTTTATCTTTCTTTAGAACATATTTTCTTGATTTAACTGGCAGGGGTTTGTATTTTTAGAATAATTTAAGCAGTATAGATCCAGGGCCCAAATTGTGTTGACCTTAAATATAATCCCGGTGAAGGGAATGTTGAAATAGCGATGAGAAGTTCAGTTTTGTGTTGAAGACCAGGGTCAGTGAGAAATATTTCAGCTGTTATGCTATTCTGTTTTAGAAGGCAAATGAAAGGCTTCTGTGCATCATATTGGCGTGATGTGACTGAATGAGTGCAGATGCAACATGATCTGAAGTCTGCTAAACTTGTATTTGGAGGGTGTGAATATATAAGAGAGACTGTTCCTGGGAGAAGCCAACCACTGGTTCTGGAAAGATCCCAGAAAATCACAGTGAAGTTATGCAACTAATCTTTATTGCTAGGATGTGGTACAAAATAAGATGATTTATCATTTTATTCAGAGTTTCTGAGCACGACAGACGTTAGTGGTTATCACCAGTGTCAGGCCAGGAACGGGGCCCAGAAGCTGCCTAGAGGCTCAGACAAAAGTGTTACGTGTGTACAATTTGTGGCCAATTGTGGCAGGACCACTTTAGATTATGTTGAATATTTGAATTTTTCTGTTAGGCTGCTCCTTATGCAGTAGACATAACAGAGCAGCAGATGACCAAACTCAGGACTAAGAGGGAAGAATGACTAAGAGGGTATCTGATAATATCTAAGACATTATGCTCCTGCAGGACTGGAGATAGTTTCAGGAAAACTGTATTCGCAGGGAGAGCAGAATCTCAAACCTGTTTTTCTATTAATTCATTTGAGCAAACAGTGAGGAGGTGGCAGCTAACCAGTTGCCTGTTTTCACTCCTGCTTTGAGATGGCCATTTATTTTCTCATTCATTGCATGAGGAGCTTAGGCTGTCACCCCAATGTACTCTGTGGCCAACAGAGGGGCACCTAAAAGATTAGGAATTATGGCCCCACAGCTGTAGCCTCCTCAGCCCATTAATGGATGTTGCCCTTAGTGTAGGAATTCTTGAGAGTATAAACATATTGTTGTCTCTCAGAGAATTGTATAATTCTATAATATCTGGACAGCTCTTGTAGTTACTACTGGTCAGAGCCTAAACAAAAGTTCCAGCTCACAGGACTTTAAAGGCAAAATACCGTAGGTAGATCTACACCATACAGCTATGCTCAAGCATGGCTCTGTGCTTAGCCTCACTCAGCTTAAGCATTTGGTGTAAAAAATCTGTAGCACAACCATTTTTTTAACTGGGTGGAGAAGGAAGGGAAGTCAGAGTGTTCCTCGTCTGAAGTCTGCTATTTGAAATTATTTCTAGTATTTGGAAAATAATTTGACTAATATTTAGATAGTATTAGTTGTCCATTTCCATCGACTATTGAAAAGGACTCAGCACAAATAATGGTTTATTTTTCAAGCTGTTCTACTGCTTGAAATAAAAATGGATGTAGAGAAATGCTGACATTTTTTAAAGAGATCTAAAAACAATGGAGTCCTCCTGAAAAAAAATAAAAATCTATGGAATTTATTCAGTTCCTTTAGAGATCCAGCCTCCGCCTTCAGAGCTTTCTCAACAGTCTATATTTTTCCCAGTCACTAGCAAAACAAGGGTAAAGGCTTTCCCAAGGGAAATCTGCTTAAGCCTGTTGCAACGTCTGTGAGGAGTATGGGTGCTGGTGGAGAGTGATACAGGGAGGAACTGTGCTGTCAACAACAGGAAGCTGGTGAAAAACGAGCGGTGCCCCTGGGGAGGTGAATGCAGAGCAGATGGCTCTAATTGTGAGTCACACTGTGACAACTGACAAGAGAAATTCTGCACTCTTGACACTTTAAAGATACCAAAAATACCAGAGAGCACATTCCATGGCTTCTTGAAAACTTCCATATCGAGGTAGCTGGGGGGGGGAGAGCTCCAACTCCTCCTGTTTCCATCACTAAACAGCCCATAAAATTTGCTGTTGATAAGCTTCCAAGCAGCCAAGCATTCTAATACTTAGATAAGTCACTAATGTTAATAAAACCACTGAAGAAACAAGAAGAAAGAGGTACGAAGGGGATTCATGTGCAGGGCAGCACCAGTTGCTTTAGATACTGATCCTTTCAATTAAGGGCAGTTCTGGATAAGAAAGGGGAAAGTAACATCCTTGTTTATATGCACTGATAGATTTTGAAATATCTTTCTCTCTCTTTCCTTTTTTCCCCCCCATCCGGACTGACCGCAAGCATTTTCTTGATGTATTTCAATTATTGCCCGGATACAGGGTTGCAGATTTATATTGTGCTTCTTTAGTGGAGTTACAAAAAGTCAAGACCAGAAACCTTTCATAGTTCGTTGCCAATTTTTTATTTTAGGCTGAATGCCTGGCTTGGGTAGGTCTGCAGATGTAAACAGAGCTACCCCAAAATAAGTTTTATTTGCTCGCTTGATGCAACTGCTTTAGTACCAGTAGTTTAGTACCATACTCAGGTAGTTTGTCCCTTGAGCATAACCTGGTTGTTTCACATGCACCCTAATAACATAAATCATCTCCTTTCCTTGGAACTCTGTGACCATTAATATCCGGCTAAGGCATTATTGTTATTCTTCTGGTACCATGCAAAAATTTTCCCTGGATATTTGCGAGGGAGGTGTCTGGGGGGAATTTCTTAGTGTTAGAAATATTTTTGGGAGTGTCTTATTGTGCTTGGATTCAGATATTTGATATTTTTGCATTCTCTGCTGCTTTTCAAATTGTTGTTATTTGTGAAAGTTACTAACAATGGAAGAGTGCATTGAGTCACTTGGGGAGGCAGCCACACTGCACAACTGTTCCTCCTACAGCTGTTAAGATGCTGCTTAAAGGTGCAATTTGAAAGTTGTTACTTGAATAAGTGCTTAAGCACTGAGGTGGTGAGCTTGCTTAGGAAGGTCACACAGTTGAGTGGTTCTAAGTTCAGTATTTCTGAGTTGGAGCTATCCGTATAATTTTCTTTTATTATTATTTTGCTTTATGTTATATCATTTAGCTGGACTCTGAATTTTTTTCTGAGGGGTAAGTCTGCTATATAGGGATATCTGAGATGAACTGAAGTAAGACACGTAGGGTACCAGCAGTAGTATAGCCTTAGTGAGATGCTCTGCTAAGGTTGGCTAATTTGCTCCATTAAGTGTTCCTGTAAATTGCTGTACCTGTGGTAGTCATGGTATTTTGCATTGCATCATCTGAAAATCCCACTAAATGGCCCTCCCCTCTGTACTGCTGTGTTACACTCCTCAGGTCACACCAATGGGTACTTCTTTTGACCAGTTTTCTTGGGTCACCAATGCAGCTTGAGATGAGAATAATTTAAAGCCTTGGGCATTTTAGAACAAGAATTCACCTTTGTAACTGCTGTCCCAGATTGGCATTTGACTTCTTTGCTAGCATTTTATATAAGGTCAGCTGTTATTGCCATTTTATGAGATTTTGTTACCTCTGTGAAAAGCCCAGGATTTACCACTAATTGGAATAAATCTACCAAAATACTTGTGTTGTCACGGTTTAGAATTTGTAAGTTGCATAACGCCCATGTACATTAGGCCACATTTTCTAAAATCATGAATGTTTTTTGTATCTAATTTACAAAGAGCTGTGCAGATGCACACATCCTAGGAGTCTCCTAAGACATGCAAAGCCCTGCCATCATTCTGTGGAACCACCACTGCCAGAGAAGCCTACTGTAGTGCAAAGCCGACATGCAGGACTCAGGAAGCGCCCTGCTTTCACGTGTGGTGTGAATTTCAAAGCTCGTCTCTTGTGGTGTTATTTTTTCCTACTGACGGTAGTGGAGGGGAAGAGGAGCAAGTACCATGTGATCTTTGGTTCTTGAATCCTTGGCAGGAATTTTGAGACCACAACGCTTCTCTCCTTTGAAATGCTTTCACTCGGAGAAGTTGTACGATGCGGTGGAATTTCTTTCTTCTTTATATCTGTGTTGGCTAAAGCAAGACAGAGGAGCTTGAAAAGGCTCGCCCTCCTCAAGGAACACTATCTGATTCGTAAGCATTCCTAGAGGTTAAGGCTGGTGACTATCAAGAAAGCAAATACTTCACGCAAGGGTAAGTCCTCTAATTGTGTTTGTGTTGAATAGCCGCCAGATCCCCATGTCAGGATGTCTGCAGTCACGGCTCTGATCTCACCATTCCTTCCTCGGCTGTTGCACAATTGTGTTGCATGTTTGTGGTAGGGGAGAAAGTTGGAGAGCTGGGCTATGAAACCGTCTTAGGGAAGGAAGCCATGTTTTATTTTAGTTGCTTGGTTTGGACAAAAGCCTGTAGGAGATTGAATAACATAAAAAAACCCATAATGTGGCCAATTCATGGAAACCAAACCTGGTCTTCTATACAGATATGCGAAATATGAGGTTTAACAGCCAGGGTGGAAAAGGAAATGTCAATGAAAATGTGTTCACTGGTATAGTAGAAATCCTAATGTACACATGTGATAACTTATTACTTGTTCTACCCAGATTCTAACCTGTAGTTGCAGGGTCTGTTTGGCTTAGGCTTGTAGATGCAATGAGGGAGCTTTTGGAAAACTGGTTGTGAATCTGATCTTCTGGTAGATTGCTTAAAGGATCTTTTGTGGCAGACAAGTGAGACAAAACAGTGACAAGAAACAGGCTGTGAAAGAAGAAAGAGATCCAAAGATACTGCAGGCCATCAGCTTAGCAGTGGAGAGAGAATATCCAAGGAAAGAGTATCCTAACTCCTTCCAGGCCCAGCAGAAGAGTTTCAGGGACTCTCAGCACATGTAAGAGTTGAAATCCACTCTGGTTACACAAACCCGAAAGAAGACAGCAGTTGTCTTAGCCACAGAAATGTTGGTTTAAAGTAATATCCTGATTAGACTCGGTACCATAAATCTTTCTTAGATGATAAAGTTGTGCATTAGTCCTGTTTGGTTAGAGTAAAGCAAATGTCACAGGAGTCTAAATTTACTACTGAAACATAGTAAGAGGTTGGGTTAATCTATGACCATCGTGTCATCTCACATAATAAAACCTGGAGAGCTGGTAGCAGTGCTCCAGGAGGACATCAGTTCCACTTCCTAAACCAGGAAGTGGAGAATTATCCAGAGCGATAAAGAGCTTGTACAAATAATACTGGGGAAATCAAAAGTTAGTCTGAATACTAGCTCACTCAGTCTAATCAGTGCGAATAGCTCCCTGCCAACTGCTCCATTACCTGAAACAGGGGTCAACTGATAAGCATCAGTCAGTCCTCTCATTATAAAAACGAAAAACCAACAAAAAACTAACAAACCCCTTCATCTCAGAATCTCAAATTCCATCATTCCCGATAAGCACTAACCAGTTCCTCATCTCTCATTTTCAGTTCATATCCTGAGCTACATAGATTTGCTGTTAGAGATAAGGATATGAAAAAGTAAAGTGATATTAATATGCATGTTGCAACGTGTCAGCCTCTCTCAGGCTGCTGTGCCTGACATCGTAAATAGAGGTGGTCAGTGAGGCTGCACAGGAACTTGGGATCTGGCCACGTGCCATTTGTTTAACAACATTAGCCCAGATGAGCATGTTCAGGGAAAACAGTACAAGTCATCTGAATGAAGAAACAGATGATTAATTAAAAGGGAGCAAGCAAGAAAGAACAAGAGCGAGAAGGACCCGCTGTATGTCTGGGGTCTGCTTCTGGAACTGGCAGAGAAAACCGGTCAGCTGAAGGTGGAAGAAGGGAAAGGGATCAGTAATCCCAAGATCTTGAAAAATGTCACCCAACTTGACATCAAACCACACAAGTTACCTTTGGGTTCTCACAGCATGCTCACCACTGTCACATATTTATCAAAGTTAAGAGATAGGACAATATTTTTCTGCCTTTCCCTTTATAGCATGTGTGAGATTTTGCTGTCCTAAATCACAGATTAACACCAATCAATAGTAGCATTAAACAGCAGTCAGTCAAAGGTGGTTCCTGAATCAGTTTTCTGGTGTTTGAGTCAGACATTTATCTTCAGTGACTTATACAGTATTTTTCTAAGTTTTTTGGGAAGGTACAGGAGTCAACTTTTTGCTTTTCATGGTAACTGAGAGAAAGAAGGGTTGAGTCAGCTGCCCTATAATGCAGAATTCTTCTACGGACTTTTTTCTTCATGTGTTTTAGACTTAGAAACAAACTAATCAAAAGCAAAATAGAACACAACCAGTATAAAATCCTGAAATGTGCTTTTAAAGATCACTGACACAACTATATTTAGTTTCTCTGTGAGTTACCACTCATTTTTCTTTTCAAGCACACACTCTTTTTCCACAATTTACTTTTAATTTCAAAGGGGGAAATAATGAGGTGAGGGGAGTTTGATGTTTCTTTTTCGTTCGAAATGCTTAGACAGTAATGAAATAAAATATTCCACGCATCCTTAAAAAGCCAGATACTTGTTCTTGAAGGAGAAATAATGCTTCCCCCCGAAAAAAAAAAAAAGGAAGAGAATGAAACAGAGAACAGGTGCAGTTAATGGGCTAGACTAAAGTATCACGGGAGATTTTCAAAGCAGCAGATGAATTTAGCTGCACCACTTCCAAGGAATACAAATGAATGTTGTTTACTTTGTTTTTCCGAAGTTTGAAATCATCCCCTTCACTATAGGCTGTGGGGGGAAGTCCACTTGAAATAATTGTAGACATTTGAAATTAACGTTACCACCACCTCATATGATGAGGATAAATACCACTCATACACTAATTTTCCACAGACAAACAGTATACTGGAGAATATTACCAAGCATTATCAGTCAGAAGGAGGGATAGCCTTGCTTTACATCTCCACTTTTTATTTCATTACTTTTGGTTTGAGTCAGGAGCAATGTCTGAGTGTTTGTCCCAGGCAGGCAACATTATCTCTTTTTTCCCTCTGGTCTAACGGAGCCTTTGCTCCTACCTACATTCCTTGTTTATCTAAAGCTGTGTTGGAGAATTATGAGTTCATAGAAATGTAACAGTATGTCTTGGTGCATGAAATCATTATGTTATTAACTAAAAAGTCTTTTAATCACACATACCCCTACTCCAAATATAGACATGCATTGGTACACATGCATTGATTATGTTGAAAAACAGCTTTCATAAATTTTTACATAAAAATTAGACAGTACGGTACAATTAAAAACTCATCTAGCTTATTAACGGATAACTCCTGCTCATCTCTGAGCCTAATTAACATGTTGGGCTCATCAAAACACACACCAAATTAATTTACTTGGATGATATCCATAGTCTTATTTGAAAGCCTTAGTTCTTTGTAAGGTCTACCATCTTGTGAGGTCACGGCAGAAAGACAGTGAAAACTGTTTATTGAAGTGATTGTGGCTTATTCTAATATCCATAATAAGGGACCTTTTTCCCCACGTGTTCTACCCTTAATAGACCATCATCTTACTTCATATTCAGTATTTAAATCTGTTTTGGAAATGTGCCTGTGCAGAATGCCTTGCAGAAATGTAAACTGCTTTTCTTGGACTGTTTTGTCCTTATTTTTTGATTTTCCATGAAATACATCACATGTATTCTTCCTGTACAGTGACCCACTGCATGTAAATTCAAATCAATAACCATGTTTTTTCTTTTGTTCCAATGACTCACTTTAGTTAGGAACAAACTCTGTTGTGCTAGTTGTTACTTCTAAGGTAGAAGTGCATTCCAACATAGTGATGGATTTTAATTTGAAATTATAGAAAACCAGAAGAATTGAAAATAACCCATAGGTGATTGAATGAGCTACATGTAGAATTATTCTCAGGTCTGGATTCATCTGTCTGTCTTTTCTACAGATCGTGTGTGTGTTTCTTTTTTTTTTTTTT